TTGGGACATGGCTTTAGGAAGATTAGTGCTAGGATCCCTTATACTTTACATTAAGGCCATGAGGATAATGATGTTCCAACTTTCTGGCTTCTACTACAAGTTGCTTCAGGTTTCTGTTTCTGCAGCCTTCGCTGCTTGACTTCTACGAGATTAGAGCATGGCCGGCTTCTTTGCTCTCTGCCCGTTACTGTAATTCCATGATTATAGCAACGACTCGTAAAGAATCGTACTACAGGTCCGTAACAAGTTCATCCCCTGTATTCGTGTAGCTCAGGCTTTATCTATACGCTCCGGCTGGAGCAACTCTGCGCTGCAACCTCTTTGCCAGACACTCAGTGACGCTGTGGTCCATCAGTAGATGTCGCTAGGAACCTTACGTTTCGGCGGAGTTTGGCGCTGCAGCTGCTCAGAGTGCCGAGCAGGAACCGAGACTATCGCGATAAGCAAAACTGAAGCCGACCAGGATCAAGAGCGACGAATATTGTCGTGGTGGTGATGGGGAAGCTTGCGATCGCGATGGACATGTGTCAGGGTCTTTTTGATGGTTGCAGTGATGATGATAGTGATGTTGCTGCTGAGGATGATGCTGATGTTGAAGAAGAAGATGATGATGATCATGATGATGATGGTGATCAAGAGGATATATGCTGTTTTACGGAGTCAGACAGGTCTCAAGAGCTGGGGGCGCGCTGTACATGGCAATCAACATATTCTTTTTTTTATGTGGCAAGTAGTGAATCTGCATAGTGCGCCGTGACATACCCTGGCGAGAATCACCGATAGCAATTATAACCAGCATAGTCGCCATACTACTAGCTTCCATGGATCGCGGCACGTTTTCTCACAGGCGAAGAAAGGAAGGTAGGGCACAATGTCATGAGGCACCTCCCCCATGGGAAATCAAGATCAGTCTCAGTGCAGACCCTGAATCGGGCAGTTTAGGTTCATCCTGTCCTCCAATGTTTGGGGTCCCGTTTGAATCTGAGCATGCCAAGGTTGGGGACCAGAAGCGCGACGCGAACCACTCATTCGAGGCACATCCATACATACATACGTACATACATACATACATATATATATATACGCACATGCATACGTATATCTGTAAATAAAGACAGACAGTAATAACAACACAAATAAGTGTGCACATCCCCATATACATATGTACGTAATTACATGTATGTAATACATGCATGCGCTCGCTTCCTTCAAGGGGTTGCTTGAAAGGTTCTATTGTGATGATCTGTGGTTGAGGTTTTAGGATTTCTGGCTTGAGGGTTGGTAAGGGCTCGGGTCACCAACAGAAGGTCTTCACCAACTATTTTTTCTGCGTTTTGTGCCTGCCTACGCCAGTATTGTATGTAATATTTGGTGTTGTTCGTTGTCTGTGCAACCCAAATGGTCCCGAGTACCTACATAGTAGAATGTAGGGTTGGTATAAGATTAGGAGTTACTATTCTGATTTGGGAAAGTATCACCCCAGGATTTGTTGGGCAAGTTTCGTCCATGTTTCAAGCTTTTCGTTCAGTCGTTACAGGGGCCGATCTCCAGAGCTGTCGACTGAGGAGCAATTTCTAAGCTTTGGAGTACCATACTTTAATACTTTTTTCTTAATGGAACCCTTATGAAATAAAAGTTTACACTTTTTTCTCCCTGGTTACTTCAAAGCCCAGATTTGGTACCCTACCGTAGGAACCTGATTAAGCAACCCTGGGCCTGAACCCTATGAAAGGTCTTAGGGTTTAGGGTTTAGGGTTTAGGGTTTAGGGTTTAGGGTTTAGGGTTTAGGGTTTAGGGTTTAGGGTTTAGGGTTTAGGGTTTAGGGTTTAGTTCATCAGGTCCCTACAATTCTCCACTCTTCTTCAAGGTTTTGAGGTTCAGGCTTTTATTCAATCTTTCCCGAAGGCGCGAAGGACTCATCTGAGCCCTATGAGACCCGTGCAAACCCAAACCTACGGCTCGTCTCGCTGGTCAGCCCCAGAATCCCTGAAGCACTGCCTGGTGTTATGGATGCAGAACATCGAACTTGGGCCTGCGTTTAGGGTTCTGCTGGCCTGGCGAGTTTAGCTTCCGTTCTGCAGGCCTCTTCTGCATCGGACCTCTTTTTGGTCGCATCTTGCAGCGAACTCTGGAGGCGGTAGGTTCCCGGAAGAGGAATCCAAGCAGAGCCCCGGAAACGCTAAAAGGCTGGAGTCTCTCAAACCCCATAGGCGACTCCAAGCATGTTGACTTCAATCCTAACTCCCCAGAATTGAGAGAGCCCTACCTTACAACAAGAAATCTTACAGAAAATCCTATACAACCCTCCAGAATTGCGAGAACTCTATCCTGCAACATCGCCCCCTCAAATCAGCTTCCTCAAAGGTGGCGGGCGCTTTTGGGCGCACGAACTTCTGCCGGTTTGAAGCCGGCATAGATCAGGCCAGCCCGTTAGAGCTTTAGGGTTGGGGTGGTTGCCAAAATTAGGGTCCCTTTTTGGGTCCCTAATACAATACGGCACCTATTATTTAGGGTACCGAAAAAGGGACCCTAATTTTGACAACTGCCCGTTGCTTTTAGGTGTGGTGCATCGCTGCTTTGAGTTTAGTAGGGTCCACTACAGGGGCTTCGGCTTTCGGGAATAGGCCCGTGGTGTACTGCAAAACCCTAAACTCCAGACCCTGAGCCCTAACTCCATGACCACTAGTCACTAGTTGCCTGACCCATCACCATTACTTGCCAGGTCACCGATACTATCAGCATTGCGCTGGAAGTGGATGAAGCACACCAGGACGAAGTCAGGGCAAGTAAGATACCGTTCAGAATGGCAAATGAAGGAGGCTTCGGAAGGCTCATACTACAGGGGCCCAAATAATTACCAATACTGATATGAGGTTCCTTAATATATTTATAGACTGGGCCCCAAAACCCTATTGCATTTTTTAAGGCACCTATATCAGACTGAACTCCTCACGCCCAAACCACGCGCGGCAGGACATGGCTGCCACGGTGGCGCACCCCAAGGTCGTGCCAGGAGATTCCCGCTCAGTGGCGCGCTCACCCAGCTCAGGGTCACCAAAACTGCTTACGGAGATTAATGTTAAATTATTAGCATTCTAAGGAAACCCTGTTATTTACTAGAGAGTTCCATTGTGACAACTGAATATAAGTTGCTTCACAAGAACTCAGGGTACTAGCTGGCTGTGCCACCTACCCTTGAAACCCTAAACCACAAATTGCACAGTTCATGCTCCAAGCATTGTAGAATAATCCCTAAACTCGAAACCCCAACCCTAAAACCCTAAATATGAGATGCCCCCAGGATCGACTTATCTATGTTCTGTTTTTGCAAGGCCAGAGACGTGCTGGTAAGTGAGGCTATATCGAACTGCCCTTGCTGTGTTACGGCTTGTAAGCTTACTCAGCTGATTTTCCCCTCAACCTGCCAGCTTTCGGATTAAGGCAGCAGGTTTAGGAGTTTGGGGTTGTGGGTTTAGGGGTTTTAGGGTACATCCTGGAAGAAGCCCCTCGAAGCTGGCGTCGAAGGCAAAGGTTTGCTTTTGGATCTCGGGTTAGGGCCGAGGGTACGCGAAGGCTTCAATTGTTTGGGTTTACGGTTCAGGGCTCCTTTTTGAAGGATCCTTTTGTTTTAGGGATCATTTGAAGGGGTCTATAAGCGGTTTTGGATTGAGGGCTTCAGGGTTTCGAGTGTACATCCGTAGGTCTGTTGGTTAAGAGGATGTAGCAGGCATATCTGAGATTAAAACGGTGTAGGCTTCATTTTGGGTTTTTGATTTGGGGTCCGTCGGCGTTGGCAAGCTCCGAACTCTGAACCGATTCACTTTATCTCCCTTTTGGGCTCCTTATTGTAGTTATAGTTTAAGAACCTCCCGAAACCCTAGTTTAATGTTAAAGTCACAACCTCTGAAGCCCAGCCCCCCCTCAGACAGGAGGTTCATGCCCAAGGAACCTAGTTTCAAGGTTTGTATACACATAGACTCAAACATCGTACGCAGGAGCCCTAAGACAAAAGGCTTGGGGTGTTCAAGGGTCTCTGGTCCGTGAGTTTGCGGTTTTGAACCCAGGACAGGTTCTTCATTGACTCGATGAGTCCTCCTCCGACCCATAAGTCCGAAAGCTGGCTGTCAACCCTTCCAAACATGACTCCCAACTAGGGTTTAGGGGTTTAGGGTCAATCCTTCCGAACATGATTCCCAACCGACGTCGAACAGAAGACAAGACGCTGGCTCCGAACTAAAGCGTAAGCCCACTAAGCCGAGCAAAGAGTCCGAACCGTCCTTGAAGGTTCCTGAACATAAGTAGTAGACTATAAGTTATAAGACTAAGAACTCCAAGCCGAAACCCTAATCAAAAGAGTGTCTCTTAAACCTAAACCCAAGGGAACCCCTCGGGAAACCCTGTAAGGACTCATACGGTATACCCTCCACACCCCTAAACCCTAAACCCTGAAGGCCCCAAAATCAATGAAAAACCCTGGACCCTTTAAACCCTAAACCTAGACCCTCTGGTAGTAGACTACTACCCTAAACCCTAAGGACCCTAAACCCAACCAAACCCCCAAAGCCTTGCGCATTTTCGGAAGCACGAGCCGTTAAGATCGCTTAGCAGCGAGTGGGGCTGGAATATTGAGATTTCGAAAGTAATTTGCGTGGGCCGATTGGTGAAACCACGCGAAATTTCCGTGGGTCGTTGAGAGAATTGGCGTATTTCCTGCTGCCCGGCCTGTTGGATTCTAGCGAACGCATGGGCCGAATAGAGACGTGCGAAATCTCCCTGAATAAGAAGGGTTACACGCCCGACCCACGGAGCCTCAGTTTGCGCCGAGCTCGCTCCCAGCCTCTGTCTGCCTGTCTGCCTTTCGTAGAAGTTTCAAGCACGCGGGCGCTAGCAGCCTCCGGTTCCGGCCAGTCACTGCCCCTCATGCCTTGCAAGGCCTCGCGAGCGAGCTCAGCCGAGAAGCCTAGTTTAAGGCGCCTGTCCTTGGCCAGGTCACGCTCAAGATGCTGGCGCAGGACCAGCGCGAGGTCAGGATCAACTACGCCAGGGCCCTAGTAGAAAGAGCACATCTAGCACTTCTCAGCGTTGCCCGCCGCCAGGCCAACTACAAGCGGTTCAAGAAGATCCGCGAGGAGAAGGGCACGAAGAAGATGCGGCGCATGACTGCCATCGAGGCTGCTTGGCCGCTTAGCTCTGTGGCCGGTGCTTTCGAAAGCTTTGCCTGTCAGATCATGGTGAAGTTCCCCCCAAACAGCCGCATCTACAAGCACGCGAAGAACCCGGCAGTAGCGAGCAGCCAGGAGCGCAACGGAATCAAATTTGCAGAAGTGAAGCCCTGCTGACAGGAACTGGAAGAATCGTCTGGAGGAGTTGAAGCGAACTCAGGAGCAGGAGTCCCTTCACAGCCGTGGCTGTCAAAGCCTGCCAGCGCATCAAGCTTGAAGAAGGGAGAGCCGAGCTCCTGATTTTCGAGTCGGAGTCTGAAGGAGAGGAGTACAGGCAGGAGCTAGACATAGCATCATACCCGGTGACGTGCCAAAGAGCCGTTTACTTTGAACTTTAGAAGTTCAGTGCCAAAGCAGCCTTATAGAACAGAGAGAGGTGACCGAGGGCCGGGACAAGTAGGCAGCGGTAGGACCTTACAGCATTGTGCTTGCAAGGGACCTTGTTTCAAATCGGCCTGGCTCGAAGACCAGTCTTTGCAAGTGCTGCTCTTGATTAGCTTTGCGCCGCCAACATGGCCGTTAACCTCGAATTCGAGAACTACGAGGGAGTTTTCAACTGTTGCGTCGGGGCCTCATGATGTCGGAGTAGGAACTCGTCTAGCAACGTTCTGATGCAGGTGTGCAAGGAGGCGAAGCATTGGGTGGCCGTGGAACCATCCTACGAGGGGGACAATGAGCACAATGCTCTGGCTTGTTCGGACTTCAGACACGAAGCCAGCGCTTTTCGGGTAGTGAGCTACGAATCAACAGCAGTGGTATCGGGTTTAAGTCGGCCCTGTGCCAAGAAGCGCGGGTGGTTTCGGCAGCACACTCAAACGTTGGTCAAAAGCGCAGGTGTTTTGGATTAGGCTCAGAAGATGTTGTTAGCCTGCAGGCCAACACGTCCTCAGCACCTTGACCCGCTGGAACAAGTCCGCCTCCAGCTGAGCGTCCCAAGCTGAGTTACACAGGAACTCGCGAAACAGCACTCGGTGTTGTGTCTGTGGTGTTTCAGGCCTCAGGCCCTGGCGAGCACAGACGAGAAGCGCCCAGATGCTGATCAGCAAAGGCTGGACAGGCCGGTGGGGCAAGAGAGACTGAGAGAGAGAGAGAGAGAGAGAGAGAGAGAGAGAGAGAGAGAGAGGATGGGCATGATGCCCGGGGGCGTTGACCCGCCTCCATGCCCGGGAGAGAGAGAGAGAGAGAAACGGTAAGAGCCAAACCTCTGTGCAGGGCATTTGTGGCCGCGAGTGCCAGAAGGGCCGTGCCACCGCTGGTGGTACTTCTCCGACCGAAGAGGTGGCGTTAAAGCTGAACTTTTGGCGCAGGAAGAAGGATTCGGCCGTGGAGTACCACCTGCAGGCAGGCTCAGAAAGTACATGCATGTGTGATGAAGCCGTGGAATGCCATGGATAAAGACACCAGCTGCTTTCAAAGTCTGGCAGGCAGAGGGCCCGCCCCGATACATGGAGTCGGTGCGGGTCCTGCCGACCCATCACCGGGAAGACGCGGACCATGTCAGTCTGCTGCCGGAGCCGGCCCGGCCTACCAAGGACTGCTGGGTGGCTGGAGGACGAGTATGAAGCTGAGCCAGCGCCGACAGCGGCAGCAGGAAGAGCTTGCTGAGAGAAGAATAAGCGATGAAGCGACCAGACCCTAAACCCTAAACCCTAAGGTAGTCTACTTCCTTAAAGCCTAAACCCAACGGAACCCCCAAAGCTTCGCGCGTTTCCGGACTCCGCCAGGCGCAGATCGATGCGTCGGCTACGGGTCCGGTGGAAAGCACAGACAGGGCCTCGGCAGGGGATTTGTGGTGTAGGATTTAGGGGTAAGGGGTAAAAGGGTTTAGGGCTTGAGGGTTTAGGGTTTATGGGTCGAGGCGAGGGTTTATGGCTCGGGAGGTTCACACCCTAATCCCTAAAGCTTAGGGTTCGGGGTGGTCTGAATAATTTTTATTTAGGGGTTTGCTTCAGGGTTTGCAGTTTTGGGGTCAGGGCATACGGCATCGACATTGGTAGGAACGCCCCGATAGTTGGGTTCAGATTTCCGCTTCCTTGTATAGTTCAGAGCTTGAGGGTTTTAGGGTATGGAAAATCATTGTTTTTGAAATGAGCAACGTCGAGAGGGTACTCGGGTAAACAGTTTAGGGTGCCTTCAGCTTCAGAGTGTGATGAAAAGGAAGAATGCCGCGTCTCGGAGAAACTTTTCCAGGACTGAGGTCTGCGAATAGCAAGTTTGAGATCATGTGCATTACTGTGCAAGGGGTTTCTTGGATATTCTTCGGGCAGTAATCCTTAAATCATTAAATCCCGAGCCCTGTATAAGTGCAGGCCGTAGACCTTTCAATGAAAGTCATATCAACCCAAGCCCTACTTAGACTCTTAAACGACGTATGAAGCGAATATCAAATAATATCAAGAAAACCTAAAACCTACACCCTCTACCAATTCGAAGCCCGATACATGCCGTTGTATGCATGCTGTGCGGCCTTTAGGGGGCTCCTGATTGTCAGTGTGAGTGCGGGATACCAAAGGGTAAGCATCCTGGAGATGCCGGCCACTACCGGCTGCCACTAGCGCGGGACTTCTCTCTCGCGGCGAAGGAAGAAGAAGTATGTATATATATATATATACATATATATATGTGCACACATAGATGTAGATCTAAATATGCTCATAAAATATATATATATATATATATATATATATAAGTAAGAGAGAGAATAAGACTAACCCCAAACCCATCATGTTATATCAACTTCTAAACCCTAGACCATAAATGCATGAGGTCAAGCTTCAGCAGTCGTCTGGGAGTTTGAAAAAGAGTCTGACGCTCAGCATCTGCTTGGCATTTAGTATGCTTCTAGGGCTGTATACGGGTTCTAAAGCATGAGGGCCTTAGCCGCTGGGGGTTTATAGGGTTCAAGGGTTTAGCGTGTATGGGCGTTTACAGCTATGTTTGCGAGGAAAGGCGTAATTTTGCTGTCTACTGGTAGGGCGCAGGTATTCCAGCTACGGCCGGAATAGCTGGAATAGCAATCGCCTCACTTGCAGTATGCTGTTGCCGTTGTCACCTACTGAGAACAACTTGCCAGCTCTTACCTTGTAGCCCTGGTCCCCTAAACCCTTAAGCCTTAAGCCTTCCCCATAACCCCAACCGCCCCTAAGCCATACACAGTACCTGAAACCTGAGTGCGAAAAACTATTTTACCCATCAGCCTGCCACTCCGCGGCGTCGCTTCTTTGTCTCTAAACGTTAAACCCAGACCCTTGAGGGCCAAAATCCCAGAAGCACTGAGCCCGAAGCCATATAAGATTGAATCCAGAACCGTTGAGGATGAATAGTGTGACTACAAATCCGGGCTGTTCCTCATCTGCTCTTGCAACATGCAGGATTGTACCGAACCTCTGCACTTTCTTCTACAGAATAGGGTTCTCTCTCGGATTACATGTAGGGGTTCTTCCAGGGTTACTTTGAGGGCAGAATATGGGGGCTCGTTCGCTAGTGACTGAAATCTCCAAACTCTGAATATGACCTCGATGCCGGAAGATCCCATGCAGTTTGCTTCCAGATCCCCTGCCCTCCCTGAACCCTAAAGCCCTAAAGCCCTAAGCTAACATGGGGACCTTAAGTAAGCCCGTTGTTATCAGAAATCCTGCGGAATAGGCCCCTAGACTAGAAAACCAAGGAAGGATATATGCTTATAAGAGTGTTCCCAAACCTATGCTTATAAGATTGTGGTATATACTTCCTCCTGTTTTTTAAGGTACAGTTCTTAATTAAGGGATATTGGAGTCTACGGACAACTCAACCGCCCGAAGTGTGATTAACACCTCTTCCGCTTGATCCTGTGCTCAGATCCGCTGGAGGAGCTTCGGCTGCCGTGCTTTGGGTTAGGGACCGAAGCAGGACGTAAGCATAAGCATTTTATATCCCTACCTTATTGGGAATGACTAATTACAAGGGGGGGTGCGTAATTATACTGTAATGATGAGAGGGTTTATATGGGATATCCCTATCCTTATGTTTTGCTTATCTCCTTTTGGGGGGTCCCTATACTTGGTTCTTGTCAAGGGATTTAATTTAAGTTACCATAATGTGGGCTTATGGTAAATGCTATGGTTTCTTTAGTGGCGCCTTAAATTAAGTCCCTTATCAAGAACCCAGTTTATGTCAGGGCTGCTGGCTTCGGGTTTGTTAAGACTCCACAGGGTTTTGGCGAGCTTGCGTGTTTAAGCCTCATGTCCTTAGTGCGTATGGAAAATGGCAGGAAAATAACAAGCCAGCCACATATTGCGACCTCAAGAACGATTGAAGGGGTACCTTCTCATACGAAAGCATTAAGTTCACATGCCGGCATTTAGATTGTAGGTTACCCGAAACTTCTCAATTCTCACGAGCCGACTCGAACAGGCACACTAAGTTCGCCGATTTGGGCTTTCGACGTGGGTAGGCTTCCGGTTTAGGGTTCAAGGTTTAGGTTTTAGGAGCTTAAGTTAGTGGTTTATCGTTCACCTCCACTCTGTCTGAGGAGGTTGGGTTGACACCTGGTTTAGTTTAGGTGTGATCGGACCTCCCCCATAAGCCCGGAACCATTCTTCGGCTGGTACGGTTCACGAGAAGAGTGACTCTGGCTTGGTACTCGCGAAAAAGTCTTAAAGCCACAACTTCAACTGGGAGTTTCCGAAAAACGAGGGGTACCTTATATGGGGATCCTTATAATAAGGATCCTCCTATTTAGGGTACTATATTAGGTTCCCCCTATTTTCGGAAACTATCAACACACACTCAGAAACCCAAATCCAAAACTCTCGCCGCCTGAAGAGCTGTAGAGATCACGGCCCTCGGCTGAAACCCCCAGACCGCGCTGAAAGAATGAGGAGAAATATTGAGTGGGGCTCTATACTAAGCTACGTAGCTCGGCTAGCTACAATTATCATCAGTTATCAACATGTACAGCGCAGATGATGTACGAAAGCATACCCTGATCCCCCCACGATGCAGCCCTAAACCCCTAAACCCTAAGCCCAAAACTCCTTAACCCTCAACCTGGAACAGCCAAACCCCTTTAAAGAGCCCTTACAGGAACCCTTATCTCCTGAACCCTCAACCCGAAACACCTAAAACCTATACCCTAGCGAAGGAGAGGCGGGTCCTTCCATCCCTTTGGACCGCCAAGTGGGCACCTCATCGTTCCAGGGACCGCAATCCTGAACGGTTCTTACAAGGAAAGTAAGGTTTAGGATTTAGGGTGTTGGTAGAAGCTGTCCATCATGGTTTAGGGGTTTGGGGTTTAGGGTTTAGGGTTGGTATTTGTCATTCTCAGTTGTGGAAGTATGACCAGCACTGCACGTTCCATTTCATTGTGCTCGGAAAGTCAGCCAATCAGCCGATCAACCATGCAGCGAAGGGAGGAACGGTTTGGGCTTGGGGTTTGGGGCTTAGGGCTTAGGTTTTAGGGTGTAGGGTTTAGGCTTCGGTGGGGGGGGGGACGGCTGATTGGCTGGTCCGTGGTTTGGAGCCCAAAAGCCACGCACACGGCTCCATTCGCGAGGTTGGTGCGAGGGGCAAGTGATGCTGGCACTTATATAAGCAATATGGGAATTTCCGAAAATTAGGGGTAACTTTTTTGGTGTCATTATAATCAGGATCCTACTATTTCGGGTGCTATATTAGGGTCCCCTATTTCGGAAACTCCCATATGTATGCCGTTTGCATTCTGGCATCGTTGCAGCTGACCGTTATCCTCAGCAAAGCCTGGTACCTCAATCTCGTTGCTGCATGTAGCCTGACACATGGGAGTTTCGGAGCCTCACGGGGTATCGCATTCAGGGGTCCTTCTTCGACCATGAGGATTAAATAAGCAGAGGCATGATTTGTAAGAGGACCTTCTCATCTGTTGATCGCTGCAACTCTGCTGCTATCGGCCACGGGCATAGGGCCGTTATGGATATTTTCGAAGTTTGGCACGGAATCCTACACCCGGTCGCCCTAGCCCGAGCCTGCAACATCTTCAACTTGGTTCTGTCCAAGGCTTAAGTGTTTAGGGTTTAGAGTCTAGAGTTCATGGCACCTCTGTTTTGGATATCAGGTCGCTTGCCGACAAGGGGAGGAAAGAGGAAAGCTTTCACACATTCGACGAGCCAGTGGCTCAGTCTGGCTGTTCGGGGTCGGCAAGCTCGACCAATTGCGAATGCAACCGACAATGGTAGTCGGTTGGTGTTTACACGGATAAGTTCATGTAGACAATCAAGACATTAATCATGCTAGTTGCAGGTTTCACGCCTTTCCACCATTACGATCGTCTGTGTTGCTACTGCTCCCCGCATGACTTTGTTCACGATGTTGGCACACACGTTGCACCTGATGATGATGCTAATGAAGAAGACTCCGTCCCCATCATGGGAATCGCCTCCGTCATCAGGGGCATCACCACCATCATCATCCCCATCATGACCATCAGAATCATCATCACCGCCACAATCACCGTCACCATCACCATCATCATCCTGGTCGTCGTGACCATCATCATAATCCTGGTCAGCAGCAGCATACCAGCAACAATCACTAGAAGGAAGCTTGCCTTGAACCAGCAAAGAGGGTCCCTTTCCTCGACATCCGGCTTCCTGTTTTCTGAGGCTTGGAAAAACCAAAGGCCTCGCGAATCGCTGTGTCTGTTGATGGTGTGTCCTTGACAGGCTTAGTGCCTAGGCGTTCACGTTGTTAGAACTTCTTTGCTACAGCAGGGGGGTCTGTTGTTGCAGGCGGTTGCTTTGCAAAGTCGGGGAGGCGACCACGGAGTTGAAAGGTCGAGGTGGTTTGAGGAATGTGTATGAGACGCCAAACCCTGAAGCGCAAGGCGTACCTAGAGACTGGGGAGTAAAGGCAGCATGGAGAATAGCTCCTCTGTCACCCCCCTCTCCCCCCGTAGTGTTAGGGCTGTACCCACCCGGTCTAAAGTTCTAACCACCACCCCGAATCTTGGTTTTGAGTTGGAGTTGCATCTTGACAAGGACTCTATAGTAAGCCTGACAGTAACCCGTACATATATATATATATATATACATATTTCTGTATACACATATGTATATATATTTATATATATATCCCTGACTTCAGTGAATCCAGAATATATGTGTATGTATATATATATATATATATATATACATACACATACACATACATATACATATACATATATATATATATATATATATATATATACATATACATATACATATACATATACATATTCATATACATATTCATATACATATACATATACATATTCATATACATATACATATGTATGTATGTAGATGGTAACCCTGACTTCAGTGGGCCCCAGTATTCGGAAACCCTTCTACGATGAAAGAAAAGCTCTGCCCCGAAACGAGCAAGCAGGACTGGTGCAGATGCGCTTTGTGTTTGACATGACGTGTCGGCTCGCGTGGCAGGATTTCCAAACTAGCACGTGGGCCCCCGCCCTTGAGGCGTCCCGACCCCGGCGTTTTAAATCATTCCGTGGTCGCCATGGCCGACACGGAACAGGGAAGACAGTCAGAAGAGACGTCTGCAAGGTCTGCCCGGCTACAAGCGCCTGGAACTGAATTGAGGTCTTGAATGGGTCAGGGAAGATCATTCCGAATATCGATTTGGGTTGTATGTGCGTGAACAGGAGCTGTTACTGTGATGGTTCCAACTCTGTACGAACGGCTGGTTGTGGTCCAGCAGCCATTGTCTTTCATTAGTGATGTACTTCCAAACGATGTGCCATGTGTGTTGAAATGTGCCATATCTGCCGCCGCCACCACACAACTGCAGACAACTACGAATGCAGACAACCACGACGATGACGAGCAGGTCGTCGACGACGATGACAACGGCGGAGGCCACGACGACGACTGAGTATATTCAATGGCTCGACACTTTAGTCGTGTAATGTCGTGCTCCTGGCCATTCTGCATAGCTCGGACAAGCCGTGGTGTGCTCTTAAGGTGACCATGTTTGCTAAGGAACGCTTCCGAGCGTGCATGGGAGATGACTCCTCCCAACGGATACTTAGGGTCGCTTAGAAATAACTTCTAATTTTTGGTTATTATCATCCCTAAGAAACAGGTAAAATTAAAACTTTTGCTAGGGTTCTAATCTCAGTATAGGATATACACGCAGCTCGACGCCTTTCGTGGTCGCCTCTGGTCGGAGATCGCAAGTGCGCAAACTGGGGCCATTGTCTGGTGGACCATGACACTTGGTTCCATCTGGGACACTTGTTGATTGACGTTTGGTCTTGTTTTAGAGCCACATATGCCCAAAACGCTCTCCATCAACCCATACCGCAGGACATAACGAACGATGATGTGCGAAAGCCCACTGCGCGTCTAAATGCACACACTACGTAGTACTATGTATCGACTTGGGGTAGTTTTTAACTTCCCTATTGTTCAATAGAGCGCCCTAATTTTAGATAGCTTTGGGGACTGTTGAAATCGACACCTAAATCATCATAAACCCTAAACCCCAAACCCTATAAGAAAAAAGCCCTAGAATCTATAGAATCCCAACATATTCCCAAAGGTTAACTTTTGGTTTTTTGGGATACTCAACAAGTAGGTAGCCCCAAAACCCCTCAGAACCCCCAAACCCTAAAGCCTAAACCCCAAAACCCCTCTAAACTCCCAAACCCTAAAGCCTAAACCCCTAAAACCCTAAACCCTAAAAAGGCCCCATTGCACTTAAAAAAAAATTATATATAAAAATCACAGGACCTCAGGGCTCTCGGCGATGATCTTCGTTTGGTGGCTGGGGGGAGATCACTGGCTAACCGGCCAGTGGATCCTCAGCGCTGCAGCGGGGACTTAAGCAGCTAAGTAGTGCCGTTTAGGGTTTTGGGGGTTTAGGGGTTTAGGGATTAGGGCTTTAGGGATTGAGGGGTTTATTGTTTTAGGGTCTAGGGTTTTGTAGTTTTAGGTTTAGGGTTTTTGGTGTCGGACTCAAACTTAGTAGCTGAGCAAGTAACCTCTAGCCTTTTGGAGTACTACCATAATGTCTTTTCGGGGACAGGGTACTCACCCTAAGCAAATAGCTAAGTAGTACCGTCATGCACTTCTATTTGTGGTGCCAACGTGTCGATATTTTTATCCCTGATGCTCTACAACCTAAACCCTAAGGTTACTGAGGGTTTGCTCGCATGCTGTCCCGCAAACAGGCCTGAGGGCGTCAGGCTTCGGGACACCTCAACTAGCCCAGCTGAAATCCGAACTGAGGGGTCTAGGCTAGGGTTTAGGAAGCAAGAGAGAGCGAGAGAGACAGGCCAAATCTGTTTCCTCGCTTAGGACCTCATTTGGCATTGGGGCCCACTTAGCGTTGGGGCTGAGAGACGTGTAGCTCAAGCCGTACATAACCCATCCGGAACTTGGCATATACAGCGGTGTGAAACAAGCACTGTCTAGAGACTAGGAGGCCGAAAGAGAGAACCGAAACTTCCTTTTCCATGGTTGCAGGTTCTCGGGATGGGCGGATACCTCAACTAAACCCTAAAATCCCAAAAGAAACTTTATACAACATCGGATTAAGCTGACTAAGCTAAACTTGAACTTGAACCGTTATTCCAACCTAATATAGAAGCCTAAATAAATTACCTATATATACTATTCGAAAGTCCCCGTGTTATATTTGTATATATATATATATGTATGTATATATATATATATATATATATTCGGATACCCCAAACCCTATTCTAACTACGTATTCAGGCCCCTGTAGTAGTCTCGCTGCCAGGTCCTAAACCCTAAACCCTTAACCCTAAACCCCAAACCCTAATCTCGCTGTCAGGTCCTCTTGATACTTTCGGCTATCCTGGCCTTGGGCTTTGGGCCGTCCATGCCCGAAGCCAGTGCCATCCTCGATGCCGAAGACGTGCCGCTAAGTTGCACTATCAGGGGATTAGGGGTTAGGGGTTTAGGGTTTTAGGGTTTAGAGTTTAGGCTTTAGGGTTTAGGGAGGGCATTTCAAACGGGTTGCACGGCGTACTGTGCACGGTCTACAAGGTTGTAGGCCACCCAGCAGCGCCCAGCAAGCCGCAGAGTCCTCATGCCTGCAGGAACAATCTTGGGTTTCACATCATGGTTTGAGGATATTCAAGAAATCTCCTCGGCCAAAGGTTGTGGCCGGTGGGCAGGGGCTTAACAGGCGTTCTAGAGTGCAGGAATTAGGGCTCAGCGCAGGATGGCTTACAGGACTTGGGGTGGAGAGGCGTTCTGGGCTTCTAGGGTTGCAAGACTAGGACCCAGAGTAGGCCCTTATTCCCTTTTTTGAGGCTTAGGTTCCCTTATAAACCCCTTTAAACCAAAAAGGGCATCCTTTTTATTCCTAGGTTACTCTTAGGTCTAGAAGAAGTTTGGGGTTCAGGGTCTGGGAAGTCAAGGGCCTTACGGCTTGAGTGGTCGATAGAGTTTTGTAACATACGGTTGATGATACAAATCCTGCATTACCCATAATAACGAATATACCATAATTCCCATAGTTCAGGGTCCTTAAGGTAGTGCAGGATTTATATCATCAACAGTAGGAACCTGATTATCAGAAACCTGGGCCTAGAACCCCAAAGTAATAGGGTTCACATGAGGAACCCTAATAAATGCCAAAGGTTTCTTAATCAGGTTCCTTGCATTAGACGGGTGTAAGCTACAGGGCTTATTGACAGTTCTTGGTCCTTGGCTTGGTCATCATCGGGCTTCTGGGATGCATGGCGTCATGGGTTCAGCAACTTATTGTGTTTGTTGTGGTGCATTTAGCCACTTGCACCTGGGAGCAGAACTGTCTTCAATCCAACCTATAGTCTCCATTGTAGTTCCTTTTTGGTTTAACCAGTTTTATATTGGGGAAACTAAAAGGTAACCCCAAAAAGGAACTTCAATGGAGACTATAGGAAAGCTTTGAATATCTTTGAATCCCAAGCCGCTAAGGCTGTGGTGCATCATCATCGGTCTGCTGTGCACTTGCTATTGCTTCCCACAGATGCTGCTGGCACAGGATCTTCTCCAGAACTTCTCGGAGGACCCTTTCAGTGTTTATGGTTGGGGGAGCTTGTACTCTTCCTCACAGCTCCCATCACAGTAGCACAAGCTCAGCCAGAAGACCTTCATGCCTTGGTGTAGGCAACCGGGATAGCTTTTATCAGTCTCCCGCACTTCTCAGATCCAAGGGTAAAAGGAGGGACCCCTAACAAGGACCCCTAGGTATATACCCTTAATATAGCTATTATATACCCATTATATAGCCCACTATAAGGTAGGGGTCCCCATTGAGGGTCCCTCCTTTTCCCCTAAACCCCCTAAACCCCCAAACCCCTAAACCCTATACCCTTATTATAGCATCCCTATAGATCCCTTTAAAGGATCCCTAAGAGCCCTAAATTAAGGGTCCCTCCTTTTCCCTGTTGATCAGAGGACCTGGCCGAAGCCAGGGGCTCCTATCAAGCCATCTTTTGGTCTTGCGTGGTGGCCATGGTGGCTTTGTCACAGTTGGGTTTAGGGTTTAGGGTTCCACAGTTTGGGAACATTTTTTACATGTTTTTATGGGTACTTAAACCCAATAAGGAATTACAGTTCAAGCTTCTAATGCTATCCCAACCATGAACCAGTCAATTTGGGACCTTATATTACATTTTTAATTCTATCCAAACAATGATCTAGGTGGCGGTGCCCATCTTTGCCAACTGGCACATGATCATCACCAGGGCCTGGCTGTCCACGTTTCTGGGTCTTAGTAGCTGAGTGGATACACTTTACACTTTTTGGGATAATATGACCCACTATGAAACTTAAAGTGTACACTGTTGGGGGCTTATGAACTCGGCAACTAAGGGGTTCTACTTGAGGAGTGTAGCTTAAGTTACTTCATTTGTGTACTTACTAAGTTACCATAATCACGAAAGTTACCAAAGCATACCATTTCATTGCATATCTCCGCGATGCCCTTGTAATAAGGATCCTACTATATTTAGGGTACCTTTTTAGGGTCCCTCTTTTCGGAAACTCCCGTATAGTCCCGAACGCACGCGCCCAGGTTTCGCGATTACCGTACAGTCGCAGAGACTGTCATCGACCATAAGATCGCTCCTGGGCAAAATAGCGTTGGGTTTTTAGGGTTTTGCTGGTTTAGGGGTTAAGGGTTTAGGGCTTGTAGTGTGGGTTTTTAGGGTTTTGGGGTTAAGAGGTTAGGGCTTAGAGCGTGGGTTTTATGGTCTATCTGGACCTTAAAAAAGTAGTTTTTTTGCGGTTCCTGAACATGAT